TTTTGCTGTTTTTAAAAAAAAATGCGCATTGTAATTCTGAGAAATTTTCAAACATGTCTTTGGAGTTTTTGTACAATTTAATAAAATATGACTATTTTTCCTTTTTTGAGAAAAATTTGTAAAGGCGATGTTTTTTGAAATTTTATAAGTGGGTTTCTTTTTTTCAAAAGAAGAAAGAAATAAAAAAATCAAAAAAAAAAAACAAAATAGGAACAGAAAAAAGAAAGACGCATAAAAATTTCACTAGGGTATTTGCAAAAAAATTGAAAATAGTTGACAGATTTTGAAAAAGTTTTTGAAATTTGCAAAAAAAAAATGCGAAGTTGAAAAAGATTCACAAATTTGACAAAAAGTTTTGGAATTTGAAAAAAATGTATATTTTTGAAAAAAATACGCATATGAAAATATCAGAAAAAATTAGAATAAGAAAGAAAAGAAAATAAAAATAGAAGAAAATAAAACCCGAGTTAAAACCGAAGAAAACCAGCCAACCCTGTCCAATAGAGAAAAAGTTCACAAATTTGATAAAAGTTTGTGAAATTTAAAAACATTGATTCATTTGACAAAAAGTTCACGGATTTGAAAAAAGTTAACGAATTTATGAAAATATTCAAGAATTTTGGAAAATTTAAAAAGTAGTAAAAGTAGAAGAAATAAAGAAAAATAAAAAAACAAATAAAACCTAAGAAAAAGGCCAAAGCTAAAAAAAGAGAGAAGAAAACCAGACTAAGTAGACGATGATAGGATGGAGTGTTACCAGCAATACCAACAGCTAGCAGCTTGAAATTTACAAGGCAAAATACATGGACATCTAGGCACGGTACCCATTAAAAACAATCCAATAAGAAGGCCAGTAGCACCCACTAGGATTGTGTTGCATAATATTGAGTCTTTTTAAAGAGTCCAATATGGACTACATACGGAGCAAAATGGGCGAGTCTACACTCTAAAATGATGTATATAACGGTCACTCTACAGGAACATCCAGGAAGATAAAGGACCATCCGATTTCTACTCTACAGGAACATCACTCTGCAAAATGTAGTTACGACTAACCAGCGGTAGTTAACGTTTACTAGTGCGCTTGCTTTGCCAGGAAGCTCCTGAGCCACAATACTCTGTGCTCCTCGTGCATCCTCATATATTCAATGGCCTGGAACTTGTCGTCCATGAAATGAGATAGGACAACCCTTAAATCTTCAGCTGTGAAACCAGGGGTGTTCATCACAGCGCTACGCACCGAATCGTTTCTCCTGTGATGCACATCCCAAATGGTCAAAGTACCATGAACAGGATCTGCCCTTAAGAATGATGGGGCGACCTGAACACCACAAACAGAAGTACATAATCAGAACAACACAACCAGAATTCATTTCTTCTTAGATACTCTCATGCCATGTGTATATTTGCAAATAAAGAAAGAGCGGGCACACATACCTCTGTGATGTGCGCGAGCTTCCTCTTGTTCTCCTTTGATTCACACCATTCCACTAATGGTGGGCAGTCATAAATGATTAGACGCTCAAGCTTGGTCAGTTGTTGTATGCTGTCCGGCAAAGACCTGATACCCTTGCAGTTCCTGAGCTCAAATCTCTTGAGAGAGGGAAGTTGTCCTAACCACTCTGGTAGTATCATGCTTGCACACCCACACAGAGTGAGTTGCTCAAGAGATGTCAGCTCAACCAACCATGTCGGCAGTTCTGCCTGGTCGAGCCGCAATGATTCAAGCGAGGAGAGGCTGTGGATGATCTGTGGTGAGTTGGTCAGATCACTGCAACCGGTGATGGTTAAGTCACGGAGGACAGGGAGGTGGTGAAGCAACCTCCACTGATGCATGGGCACCTTGCTTTCAGCAACATTTAACTCAGTTAATGGAGAAGAGGAGGATGAAGTACAGCTGTGTGAAGAGCTCTCTCCCCATGATGATAGCATAGTATCACAACCACGTATGTACAAATACGTAGCTCTAGGCAGACACGGTTTTATCCTCAGCTTACCACATTGCTGTATCGACAAACTTTGAAGCTTAGAGAACATGAGCTCATTTGAACCTTCCTTGCCACTGTAATGTGCCGTGTTCCACTCTTCCAAGCCATCCATACGGTAGAGATTCAGGGCTTGTAAGTTTGGTAGTTGACCGAGTGGTGGTAGGTTGTTGCAGTTAGGAAAATTCCACAAATCCAACTTCATAAGATTAGGGAGATACTGCCTAATATCCATAAGCCAGCCAGTCAAGCTTACACTCATGTAACCAGTTATACACAATCTCTGTAATCTGCTTGGTGGCACTAGTTTTTCCAACACCTCCTTGTCATCCACAAACCTCCCAGCAGCTAAAGTCCATTGAAATCTTAGCACTTCAATTTCTTGTTTCTCAATCAGTTCCATATTGCGTGCCTCTTCTGCAGACTTCACATTTTCAAGTCTATCAAGCGTCAGCTCTCCAGGATTTGCAGGCTGAAGACGACTTATATAGCTACTACATAGCTTGTCTATCCTTGATCCACTTACAGTATCTAGACTGTTGGTTGTCTCCTCAACGCTCTCTGCTATCACTTCTCCATCACTTGGCCTCTTACGTTTATTGCCTATCCTTGATTCGCTCACAGTATCTAATTGGCTGTTGATTGTCTCCTCAACGCTCTCTGCCATGTCTTGTTTGTATCTGTAGCATGGTAGTTCTGGGTAGACCTGAAGAACAGAAACAGTATAATCAAAACAACAGAGCGAACAGAATTATTTTCTACTTAGGTGAATATTTAGTGGAAGTGTTGTGTATTTTATACAGTAATCTCGAAACATGAGGTGTAAAATACAGGAAAAAAAATCAAAGAGACCCAATTCGACACTTAACATGAGTATCCATACTATGTGTATATATATTTGCGGATAATGAAACAGTAGGCACTACTTGGTGCAAGAATAAAAGCAATACAACAGACAGCTCGGCGGGAACACATACCGTCCTTCTGATATGATCAAGATTCATGGTGTTCTCCTCTGAATAATACCACTCCGCTAATGTAGGGCAGTGATAAATTCTCAGACATACAAGCCTGGTTAGTTGTTGGATGCTGTCCGGCAAATACCTGATCCCCTTGCAGGAGTTGATATCGAGTAACTTGAGAGAGGCAAGTTCTCCTATCCACTCTGGTAGTATCATGCTTGCACACCCAGACAAAAATAGTTCCTGCAGAGATGTCAGCTCAACCAACCATCTCGGCAGTTCTTCCTGGAACAAATTTTCGAGGTTCAGTTCTGTGAGGGAAGAGAGGCTGTGGATGATCTGAGGTGAGGTGGTCAGATCACTGCAATGCTTAATAGTTAAGCTACGAAGGGCAGGGAGGTGGTGAAGCAACCTCCACTGATGCATGGGCACCTTGCTTTCAGCAACATTCAGACAAGTTAATGGAGAAGAGGAGGAAGTACCACTGCCTAAAGGGCTCTCTTCCCATGATGATAGCATATTGTCACAGTCTTTTATGTACAAATGCTTAGCTCTAGGCAGACACGGCTTTACCCTCAGCTTGGCACATTGTTCTATCCTCAACTCCAAAAGATTAGGGAACAAGAGCTCATTTGAACCTTTCTTGCCACTGTAATGTGCGGTGTTCCACTCTTCCAAGTCGTCCATACGGGTGAGACTCAGGTATTCTAAATTTGGTAGTAGACCAAGTGCGGGTAGCTTGTTGCACTTCGGAAAATCAAATAAACGTAACGAATAAAGATTAGGGAGATATTGCCTGATACCCATAAGCCAATCTGGAACGCTGACATTACTGTAACCAGCTATATCCAAATCCCATACACTGCTTGGTGGCACTAGTTTTTCCAACAACTCCTTGTCATCCACAAACCGAGTCCTAGAAGCTACAGTCCATTCAAATGTTAGTTTAAAAATTTTCTGTTTCTCTATCAGTTTTATACTCTCTGCCTCTTCTGCAGACTTCACGTTTTCAAGTCTATCTATCGTTAGCTCACTAGGATTTGTAGGCTGAAGCAGGATAATATTGCTGCTACGTTTATCACTTGAAGCATGTACCCGAAAGTATGGCAAAGAGGCACAGTTTAACCGAGAAACCCCCAATTTATCCAAACTATCCAGTTCCAAATTTAGAATCTTCAGACTAACCATCTGATCCATACAATCAGGAAGCTCCTCTAGGCCATAACAGCTTGAGAGGTCCAATGTATGAAGCTTCCTGAGGTTGCCAAAACTTTCTGGTATACTGTTAAACACTTCATGATTGCTATTTGACAGGTCCAGATGCTCTAGACTAGAAAGTGTGCTGATAGAAGCAAGCAAGTTGTCAATCTGATATGACGTGAACTCAATGTCGATGCACCACGATAGGTTTAGGTACCTGAGTTTTGTTAGGTTGCCAATTACCTCTGACAGCTCTCTCCTAACCATGTCTACAATAGGTTGTCCTGTTAAATTCAAATGTTGAAGTTTGGTAAAGCCACCCAAAGCTTCTGATGTATATACCCTGCAACCGGATAAATTCAAATGCACCAACTGCTTCAGCTGCCTGAATGACACTGGGAGTTCACGAATCTTGAAACAACGTGATAAATCAAGGTGCATCAGAGCTTTCATATTACCAATTGACTCTGGCAATGCTGAGATATTAGGAGAGTCTCTAAGGCTGAGGTAATTTAATTCTGAGAGTTCAGTAATACAATTGGGAATCATTTGATATTGGATTCCTGGAGAATGAAGAAACCTCAAATGCTTCAGTTGACCAATAGAATCAGGTAACATCGGAATCAAACATTCACTTAAATCCAAGACACGGAGGTTCTTAGCTGACGAAAATGCACCACCACAAAGTTCTTGCTTGCCACAGCCCCGAAAATGTAGCGCCTTTATATTTGCAGGAAAAGTCACAGACAACTGCATTGACTTGCTACAATCTGTGAGCGATGCATAGCGGCATTTGTTTTCCCCAGTGTTCACTTGATGGGCCAAGATCTCTTTTGCAAGATCATGCACTAGGTCATGCATTGTGAAAAATGTAACCTCTTTGTCTTGTAGTCCATCACCCTGCAGCAAAAAAAAACACCTAATGGTGTTAGAACTTTGAATTTATTTCGGAGTTACACCACAGGTGCCCTAACTTATCCGACGCGGTGAGTTTGGTGCCTAAACTTGAAAAATACACAAAAGTGGTGTCATAACTTGTCTGGGCGTTCAAATACGATACCTCTGGACGTATGCCGCCGTATCAAGTGCCCGCGTGGCATGCCAGCATGTCGCTGGGCCACATGTCAGTGGTTGCAGGTGTTGGACGCGCGCTGTGAGCTACGCGTGTTTTTTACAGGAATGCCCCTGGATTTTAATCAATTCTGGCAAAAATACCCCTTGATTTTAAGTAATACTCGCAAAAAATACCAGGAAGCGAGCGTGCAGGGAATTCGGACATGTGACATCCTCGTCGCCTGACAATCGAGCGGACTAGGTGGCCACAGTCTGGTTTGCGCTTAATTATCAGCAAGAAGTTTATATAGATGATTGCACGTATCACTTTGCATATGCTTTTACTGGAGTAATTTTATTTATATTTATTTCCAAGTTACTATCTTGTTTTTCTTCGAGTGAAGTTTCTGTTTAGTTCTCATGATACATAAATTGTTTCCATGTGAAAAAATAAAATAATTATCAATATGAAATTTTGTCTATTTCCATTATTGTGTATTTTGAAGAGATAAACATGAAATTTTTCTAAAATTGACGTGGAATTAAAAAGTTGAACTTATCTTAAAAACAAAGTGAGCAGTTTTTGAAATACACGTTCACGTTCATGTTCATTTTTTTTATTTTCATATTATTTTAGAAAATGCTCACCATGTTTTTTGATAATGTTGAATGCCTATTAAAATAATATTGTGTAATGTTATTCTTAAATTTCTACAAACACGCTTAACATGTTAGTACGTTTCTAGAATTTATTATTGTCACACAATAATATTTAATACATGTTGAAATTTTTTTAAAATACAATATTGTCAATTTTAAATAACTGTGCATTTTAAAAATAGAATGAAGATACACAATAATTGTTCGTGCTTATGGTGCTCAATGAGAATAAATAAATTTACAGAATAATTTTTAATATGCGTTCAACTTTTTATGTCCACATAAATTTTAGAGAAAATTCATGTTTACCTCTTCAAAGTACACAATAATGAAAATAGAATAAAGATACAAAACCAACAATAACTGCATATTGATAATTATTTTATTTTTATATGGGAAAATTTATCTATCATGAAAATTAAACAGGAACTTCACTCGGAAAAAAGCGAAGCAGTACTTCAAAAAAGCTGTAGAAAACATGTTCAAAGCGATACGTGGAATTGTGCATATAAGTTGCTAGCTAGCAGTTAAATGTAAACCAAAGTGTTGCCTCTTGATCCGCTTGTTTGTTAGGCAACCCGCAGGTCCGTGGTTCAAATTCCCTTCATGCCAACTTGTGTTTATATTTTTGTGAGAATTAATTAAAGTACATGCGCGTTCTCGTAAAAAACAGTGTGCGTGCAGAGCCCGTAACAATTTTTTGCAAGAATTAACTAAAGTCCAAGGGCATTTTAAAAAGCTACACACACAACTCACAACGCGCCCGCAGCCACTGACATGTGGCCTAGCGACACGCTGGCATGCCTCACGGGCAGTTGATATGGCGGCATACGTCTGGAGGCACCGTATTTGAACGCCCAGACAAGTTACGACACCACTTTTGTGTATTTTTCAAGTTTAGGCACCAAACTGACCATGCCGGACAAGTTAGGGCATTTGTAGTGTATTTAACTCTTTAGTATATTTCTCAATGAAAGTGCTGCCATATAACCGTAAAAAGGTTTAAACGGAGTAGTATACCAATGGAAATACTTCCATGTGGGTACGATATTTTCATGGCCATTAACTTGGAACAATATTTTGTTGTTGTGAGTATAGTATCAACTAAAGCTGGATGACCGGATAGGCTGCTTAAAGACATGCACTGGTCAAAGTTGTGTCTAGGATATCACGCAAGAAAAGGTTCAAAGTTAAGAAGTTAGTTACTCGTGCATCCTAGTCATGCACAAGGCTGAGTGTGTACTCATTGCTTTATATCCACTTGAAGCAACATCATGAGTCAATAAAATGCTCTCTTTATGGGCGAAAATGCTTGCCTATGTATATCAGAGGAGAAAGCATTAAGAAGATGCAGAAGTAGAGAAAAGCCGAGAGAGCTGAGACAATCAAAGGCAAACGGAACACAAGAAACAAAGTGAAAACAGCCAAAGCCCTGTATGGTGATGCCGTGAGGGCGAGCATGATGAGGCCAGGATGGGAAGTACTTGTCCGGCCGAGAGGCCATCTGCTGCAGAGAGACGCGGAAAGTACATGGTGCCAAACCTTCCCGCAGAAGGCAAATTCTGTGCCACGGTGCGACATCGTGTCGTCGAGCTAATCGAAAAGTGGGCAGGCACGTTGATTGGTCAAGCCATGGCGCTCAAGCAGTCCCATACCGATCCTGGGCAGCAAGCCAAGCAAACACAAACTGATTGCTAGAATGGAGACTGCACCGTGCCCTCAAAGAGAACGAGAGACAAGAGGCTCCAAATAAAGTTGTCCTCGCCAGAGGGCGCCATAATCTGAGCCTCCATGATATCTGCCAGGTGGACGAACTCGACAATGCCCTGCACGTTGAAAGCAGCCGGAATGCCAGCCAATGCAGCAGGTGTTAACTAGAGCGTCCTACGCAAAGCACTCCTTGAGTGCCCTCAGACTAACTAACGGCGGTGAGCACCGTGGGCACAAGGACTCCCACTGACTGCCCGTTGACCTACCAGAAACGAGCGTGTGTCCTATACACCCATTAGCAACTAATTTCCCAATTGTGTGTTGTATAAAAGTATGAGCACTAATACGAATATTTTAACTATTCCTATTTGTTACCTGTAACCGTAACTGACAAAATTAGGCCAACAATGTGTGCAACAAATTTATCTTTTTTGTACAATTACTATATTCAATCACAGTTTTTTGCTTATTCTGCAGAGCATAGCACATAAGTACAACATACACATTTATGAATTTTCCAAGAAATGTGCAAAAAAAAATAGCAACGCAAGCATGTCACTATAATGCTTTTTCTGCCGGAATCAATATGGACATGTATAGTATGAGAGCTGGAATGCCAAAGGTTGAAACTAAAGAGAAAATTTAGTAGTAACTGACCGAAGTTGTCTTTGAATGCTGAAGGAAGGACATCCCCAAAAGTTGGGTGACATATTTCTCACAGAGCTGCATAGAATCAAATATCCTAGATTGCTCGACAAATCCAAGAGCAACCCATTGGTGAATTAGATCATACTTTACTATTTTGTGACCTTTTGGAAAGATTGCACAATAGGAAAAGCACAACTTCAACCAATCAGACATGTGGCTATAGCTTAGTTTTAAGGACGCAAGCACTTCATGGCCCTCTGAAGTAGATAGATTCCAGATATAACTGTCTCTCACTGACTCCCATTCATCTGATGTCATGCCATTCAACATGTATCCAAGTGATTGAGCTGCCAAGGCCACACCTCCACACTTGGTTGCAATCTCCCTTCCTATATGTTCCAATTGTTCTTTGTCCACTCGGTTTTCGAAGTCGGCCTTTTGTTTTAAAATAGTCCAGCACTCATCCACTGTCAAAGTCTCCAGCTTGTATGGTGTAACTGCGGGACTACATATTTTCCTTGCGAGGCTTCCATCACGTGTAGTTACTATAATCACCTTTCTTCCTAGGCCAAGCCCTAGCATAACCTTCAATTCAGCTAACCTTGTTTGCTTCTCCTCCCACAGGTCATCTAAAACAATAAGGATGTTGTTACCAGAAAATAGCTCTTTAAGGCGTTGATGGAGCATCTGTCTGTTAGATATATTGCTGGTCTTGTTTGTTAACTGTGATATTATAGAGTTGCCAATCTTATACAAGTTGAATTCCTGGGAAACATATACCCACACCAGAGAGTAGCCTTGGAACTGTGCATCATTTAATACCAATTGTGCCAAGGTTGTCTTGCCAATGCCTCCAATGCCATATATTGGAAGGATGACCATTTCTTGTATGGCGCTCTCTAATAAAACAGATAATATTTTCTGTTTTTCCTCATTCCTTCCGATGATTACTTCTTCCAAATCAGATGATGTTTCCCTGTCAGCAATTTTCTGCACAGTACGGTTAGAGCTATCTGTTGGCATGGAATTACAATGTCCATGTTCACTTGTTGTATTGTTCAGTTCAGCTACCATCATCTCCAATGTATCAGACTTTGTGCTCTTGGGAATAATTGTTGGACTTGGGAGCACATCTGCCATCTACAATAATTTTTATGTGTAAGTACATGGAAAAGACCAGTAGAACTATCGTGATCATGATATCGTAATCTAGTAAGTTCTTTGAGATGATTATGCTATATGTGTGTAAACTAAGCTAGTCATGATCTTTTAAGTAAGCTGCTCTTCACAAAGGCACCATTTACAAGAATATAAAATGCAATATGTATACTAGAATGGAAAAATGCAACATATTGGAACAGCAACGATATGCACACATGGGCTGCCTCAACAGCCACCGAGCGACACCTTCCTGCATGCCTCTCCTCTCTCCAACTGCCGCCTATGGTAGTGTCAAGTCAGGGCGCTGCTGTTGGTTTTCGCCCTAGGATTGGCAATGCTCTACAGCACTAGGTCAAACTAAGATCATGAGCAAAACACAATGTACATACATGGTTGGTTTATTTTCCAGCCCAGATGATTGCATGGGCCTTCAATGATCAACACCGTATGCTAAACCATCAGAGTAGTACTCCTTACCAGGATCAAAGCCACATACAAACCAAAAACAATATGGAAACCTCGTGTTTTCTAACTCAGACCCAGCTAAGCACGCAACTTTACATTATGTCCAACACCCTCTGCACCCCGGTCAAGCTATCCTATAAGCCCACCAGGGTGTCTCGTACGACATTGATGCCAGCATTAACTGTTGTGCAACAAGACACGGTTTTGAACTTGCAATCTCGAGTTTTCCATTCTTGGAATTAGACAGAACTAAAATAAAGTTCCTTCTACATAGATTAAAGGGTGAGGATCAAGAAGTTGCAAAGAGCAAGTTTTGCATCCGTAAGACAAAATGACCAAGAAAGGAGGATCTGCAAAATCTACAACAGCTACCAAGGAAGTCCATGTACACAAACAACTGTCAACTGTAAATTGAATGCTCTCTACCTTTTAGTTTGTTTGCATTAAGTACGCAGATCATACCTGTCTCTTGGGAATATGAGTTTCTGTCTTGTTTAGAATATCCAGAACTTCTGCTATAGTGGGCCGCTTGTTTCTGTCAGGTTCCACACAACGCATTGCTATGCTGATGCATGTCTGCACTTGATGTGATTCCTCCAATGGGTATACTGATGTGGCTTTTATCGTTTTTTCCCAATTGGTGTGTACCTATGAAACATGAATATAGATAAAATGTTTGATGGGAAATATGGAAGTACGATAGACGATACTTAAAGTGTTCTCGACACACAAAATTTCACGCTCAGTGTATTGTATGCAGGGGAGAAGTTTCTCTATATAGGTCGTTCTTGGTCGAAAAGTGACATATGTGCTCTGATAAGGAACTTAGCTAGATAAATATATGTCAAATAATGAGAGTGTGGTTTTTTTCCTTTTACCTTGTACTTGCTCCATAATGCAGATGGAAATGCTCTTTTTAATCAGAAGAAACTGAAAATAAAAGAGAGATGCACTATATGTATATGTGTTTATCATCTATCTCATGAAAGGTTCTATGTGTGCATTTATTTTCATTTTATAGAATCTAGCTACATACACGTTTTCAGTACTTCAATAAGTATAGTTCATAAAAGTAATTATATGATATAATTCTCTACTAGCAAGCAGATTAATTACATGCATAATTTAAGTACCAGTTGTTTATGTTGACAAATAACAGTTCGATATAGGTTCCTTGTACATATGGTGGATATCAAGTGCTGGTAGTTATTGGAACTGGTCGACCTAAGAATTTGCCTTCCAAGAAACAATAAAACAAACAATCTTTTGCTATAGATCCAATAAGTTAATATATGAACTCAAGTGCTAAACTAAAATTGTTTTTATTACCTTCTGCATTAATTGTTCTATGTCACCCATTTCTAAAGAAGTGGAGTAACCTGTAGGTCTTCCTGCAATTATCTCTATCATTACAACACCTAAACTGAAGACATCATTCTTAGATGAGATGTTGCCTTCTTTTATGAATTCTGGCGGCATGTACTTCCTGCGTGATATATCAAGGACACAGTCAATTTAGATACCATTTATTTGAGTACAAAAGAGAGAAAAATCAAAACCAGAAATTCCAAGGCTACTTACCAGGTCCCTATAATTCTTTCCGTGACATGAGTGTGTGATTGAGTGAAGAGCCTTGACAATCCAAAATCTGCCAATTTAGGCTCCATGGAACTGTCCAGTAGTATATTGGCAGGCTTCAAATCAAGATGCCAAATTTGCGGTTCACATTTGTGAAGGAAATTCAAACCTTCACAAATCCCCTTCATAATATTGTAACGTGTGCTCCAATTAGGTGCAAAAGATTGTCCTACACAAGTTGATAAACATAATACTATACAAATGAGAAATTATGAATCCAGTTTCTGTTAAACACATAAGAAAATCATAATGTCGAAGTTATGTTCTCGCACCATAAAGACACTTGTCTAGGCTTCCACCCTTCAAGTACTCAAAGCAGATGACTTTATATATGCGCTCACTCAAATCGTTAGCACCATTGTTATCAACATATCTCTTACTTGTTTCATAACAATAACCAACTAATTGTACGATATTTGGATGCTTAGCTCGCAAAAGGTTGCCAACTTCATTTTTAAATTGTTGGTCATCAAGTCCTTGCAGCGTATCAACACGAAGCAACTTCACGGCAATCTCTCTCCCATCATAAACTCCCTGGTTGACATAAGCATTGTGCACAATACTGTCAGTTTATAACTGGGTCGTCTATCGTTGTTGCTGGTACATTAATTTGCTGAAACACTAAATGTGAGGTAATAGGCCATACCTTGTAAACGTCTCCATACCCACCCGTTCCAATTCTTAAGTGCGCTGAGAATCCATTTGTAATCTTTTCTAAGATATGTAAGGGTATATACTTTTCTGTACTCATGTTATATCAGCTAGCTTGGACCTTCTGTACATACACAAAAGGGGAGTGTGGAAAAATATATTTCTATATATCCTTAATAGAAGAAAAGAAACTTTCTAATGATGGCAAAGAAAACAATATTGCATACCCTACTGAGAAGAAATAGTTTAACACAAGGTCCTTGCATTATCTGACCCTCAGTGCCATATATGATACCAAGTACCGGGGGAACCAACCCAAAACCTCAACCAGGAATGAGCGTCCTCCAACCGTCCAACGCCTCCCCCACCAGCACCTCCCCTCTCTGCTCTAGGAAGCCTCCAGCCACAACCTATATAGCACCGCGTTCAAAGATTGATTCTGTAAAAATAACATTGATTCGCTCTTTGTGCCATCTTAATCCATTGCGGAATGAAACTAGCAATGATGATGTGGGAGGAGCGCACTACTTGGCTAGGCCGAGAAGATATTATCCAAGCTAGAACAAAATAAAAATGTCATTACCTGGAGAAGAAGCCCAACTTCAGTGCAGTGCTGCGTAGAGACGGCCGATAGGTTTCAGACGTTGCCTAGTCCTGTAGTGAAGGGAGAAGGGGACTTATGTCAGGAAGGGCATGGGTACTCCCTGAGAGCTCAGATCCAGATCCAGCACCAACATTGTAATTAAGACCCCTAATGTTTGATTACTCCTCGGTATGCTGGAACCAAAAGCGAAAGCAGAGTTTTTAGTATTCAAAGTTAAGGATGAGTCACCTCAGCATGCAAATAAACTAGATTACCCAAGCGGCAAGCGCGTTGGTTTAAAATGAGACGTTGCATTGGTAACATAACTATGTGATTCCAAGTTAAATTACTACCTGCAAGTTGCAACTGCCAATGCCTTTGTTGACACTAGTGGCGCCTGTCCTTTCCTCCTCTTCTTCCTCAATGTTGCGCCCTGAGCCATCCATCAGGGGGAGGCGACATAGCTCCTTAGCAGGTATTCAGGATCAGCTACCACACCTACTTTATGTCCATCACAACAGTGCAAATGCAATTCAGAACATGATGCTTTTTCTTGGTTATCTAGTACGTAGATTAGTAGCAATGGCCTGCAAATTATAATCCTAATTGTGCAGAGAAATTAAATATTTTGAAATTTCAGCCGAATGCATTTTTGCAACAAACCCAAGGGATCAGAAGAAGGGGGGTGTTGAACTGACTCGCGCTCTGCACGTGAACGGAATCCTCAGAGACCAAATCCAAGGGACAGCACAGGATAGGATCGGATCCTCATAGTATTATAGTATTGCCGAATTATTGAGAATCGTCGTGCGCGTGAGGGTCAAGGGACGAGCAGCCTACCTTACCGGCGGGCGAAGAAGAGACGGTTGACGGAGATGCCTCTGCCGCCGCGGCGTAGTTCGGCCGCCGCGCATCGCCGGCGGCGCTGCGCCCCCGGCCCTTCCCTCTTCCCCCCTCTTTCTCCGTCCGGGATGGGCCTCGACGGCATTGCCAATACGATATTTCTCGCACGGCCTGGGCCGCACAATGTTGGGCCATTCACCGGCTCATGATGATAGTAGGCAATAAATCAAAGAAAACCCTATTTGCCGCTCTTTGCGACAAACAGTCGGCGAAATTATTAATTGAGGAGTACTGTTCTCAAAGATCACTCTCACCTCCTTAGACCTTAGGTTGTGACAAGTAGCGCTCTGCATGTGCGTCACTTGTCACAACTGGGGAGATTTTTCTTTTTTTGTAGATTGGTTTATTCAAAAAAATTATCTCTTAAACCGTACATCCAAATCTCGAACTATTTTCATCGTTGGATTTCTCGCGTCGGGATCTTCAAAACTACTTCTGTAGTGTCAAAAAATGTCTTACATTATGGGACGGAGGGAATAGATCCCATGTTGATAGGTTTTAACGAACTTTTTTCCACGAAAAAACGAACCGCAGGAGCACGTTTTTTTTCCTTTTCGGAAGTCGTTTCCGAGAGGCCCGGCCGTGCCTCTCGCCGAAGCGGACCCATGCCTCTCGCGGAAGTAAAACCGTGCCTCTTACGCAAGAAAAAAAATGTGTTTTTTTCGTTTTCGAGAGAAATGGCCGTGCCTTTCGCAGAAGCAAACCGTGCCTCTCAGGAAAGAAAAAAAATAAAGAAAAC